AAGAAAGAAGGGACCCTCTTCCCAGATGTGGGGAGAGCGTGTCTCCTTCTCTCCCATGCCATGCTGAGCACCCTGCTCAGCACCTGCCAGGGGCAGGCCTGTACTCCCTTAAGCAAGGCAAGTTGAGGATTAGAGCTTTGGATGGGCTCTACATGGTCCCAGGATTTTGCAGGACATTGTGACCCCTCTGGAAGCAGGTGTTATGTAGTGGTAGGTTCATGTGGGAACCCATGAGAAGAACCAGTGAAGAACTGCATTGAGAGCTCCCCCTGTGCTGCTGGTTTTGGTTTTTCTCTCTTTACCTCTGTTTTGGTGGTTGGAAAGGCACATTCTTCATCCTTCTTCTCAGCTACTCTCCATGCCTCCAGTCCTCAATTCTGTGGGTAGACACACACCCCCCCATGTGTTTTTTTCAAGCCTGCAGGCATGAGTTTTGCTGAATATGTAAAACACAGGTTAACATACTCCATGGTACCTCTGAAAATGCTTCCAGTGGGGCAAGACTGACTTTCTTTGGGTGTCACAGACATCCCACAAGCTCTGGATGCTCAGGCAATAGGTGTTCATTCCTGTATGAGCTGTTATTTCTAGTTGTTGAGAAAGCTTATTCCAGAGCATTAGGAGCAGTTGTGGACACACACTCTCTTTTTGGCCTTTTAAAAGACACAGCATAGCTTTGGTCACAGCCAAACTCAGTCCACAGTGAGGATTCAGAGGTTGTGGCTGCAGGAATCCAAACTGTGTCTCGGGTGTCTCACTCACATTCCAAATCATGGTGTGGTGATGCCAATGTGTCCAGTTCTTTCCACTGAACTCCTCCAGACATGGAACAAAGGCATGTCCTAGTGTTTCTCAGTTTCGATTACCACACAGCAGGCTGCCCTGGTGGGCAGAAGGTACTCACTCAGCTTCCAGCTTGCTTGGGAATGTCAGGTCTTAGCTGTATGACAGGGGGAGGTAATAATCCACAGGGAAGCTGGACTGCTCTTCCACAGCCTTGGCTTTCTGCTGAGCGTGTGAACTGCTCTCTAGGAATCAATCCACTGCCAGTAAGGCAGGGATGATGGGAAGCACAGGGGAAAGGGTGGCTGTGGCACTCCCAGCCATTCACAGTAACTCCTGAGGAGCAAAGTTCTGCTTTCATGTGAAGAGAGGCCAAGGTAACAGGGGTTACCTGAGGAAGCAGAGCTTCCAGGTGCTGTGCAGGTACGGCAGGATATCACCAGGCTCTGGGTGGCTTTGCAGAGAGCTGCAGAGCTCCAAAGGTTTGACCTTGTGTGTAACCACTTCCTCTGTCCCCAGACTGACAATGGCAGGGTCCAAAGGCTCTGTGACAGTGGCTGGAGCCACAGCAGCAGTGCATACAGTCCTCAGTAAGTGAAGGCATCCTAGGAGTTAGAGCAGGCACAAGTACAACCTCCACACCTGCTCCCTGCTGTGCCCCACGGGCTGCCCCTCTGCTCAGCTCTCCTAATCCCCATGGACTGCCAGAGCTGCAGAACAGGCCTGAGCCAGAGAGCTGCTGGCAGGAGCTAAGGGTGCTGGTTATGTAAACATCTTTGCCACTAAGATCTGTGCAAGTGATTATGAAAAAGAGGAAACAGTTTTAGCAGATTTGCATGTTTACCTGCTCCTTCCCCAGGTCAGGGACAACACGTTTCCCTGCAGGCACAGGACCAATGACAGGAGCTGTTTGCTTGGGGAAGGTGATGCTGCTTTGCCTAAAACCTTCAGGGTGTCACTGATATGGTATCAAAACACCTCTTTTCTTGCAGCATGTTGCATATGTGCACCTGTGATGCAGTTGCTCTGATAACAGAACAGACCTCTGCCCTCCCATGGCTCTCTGTGAATGCATGTCAGCCTGTTTGCAGCAGGATTCAGGATTAGTCTTTCCTGGAATCTTACAGCTTTGGTAGAAATAGATGTTCTTCTCAGCCTGGCTGATATCTGAACCACACAAAATACCATGCAGTGAGACAGGTCAGCAATTACAAACCAGTGCTCAGGGGGTTGTTTTCAGGGATCAGTAACTGGGGAGAGGTGTCTTGGAATTTTGGGTTCAGAATGTCTCGAGTGGATGATCAGACTTGCTCCTCATTTCTGAAAAACCTTGACCTCAATGATTTAAGTCAAGTAAGGAATTTAGAGCAGACATGAGGCCGTCTCTGTCTTGTGTCCTGCTGCCTCTCCTTCCTCTCCCCTTGCAGGCTGTGTTGTGCCTTCTGGGGAGTGTGGCAGTTGTCACAGCTCATGACAAAAGGCTCCAAATCAGCTTCTTGGGGGCATTTGGACAATTCTTTGGTTCTGATGCTGGACTTTGCCCAATGGCAAGGATTATTCATCTTCCAATTGGTGTTACAGCCTTCTCGCTCCATGCCTCGTGCATGAGCCATGGCTGTGCTGAGGGCAGGCAGGTGCTTTTTCCATCTCCTAATTCCCTTTCAGGCTCCTGCTGTGGCAGGACTGAGACAAGAGCTGGGATCATAGGAAATACAGTTGAACAGCCTTGGCCCTTGCCTGGCTCACATCCTCAGGAACACTGGAAGTGTAAGAGCTCTTCAGGAGGCAGGTTTTTCCTTACAAATCAGTTGTGCTTAGGAATAGGGACACCAAAATGGGCTGCAAGGGTGTTTGAGAAGCCAAGTCTGTCTCCTGCCATCCACCATCCTATAAAATGTTCTCCATAACTCCTTTATGTTCTGGAAAAGCAGAGAACCCAAAGTAAATGGAGTTGCTCTGGAGCACTTCCTAAAGGCAACTTGAGCTGCCTGTGATCCCTAAAGCTTTACACTGTGTACCTTGATGGGCTAATCCACTGCAGGCTCCTGTAATTAGGTACCCCTTTGATCACATGGCCCAGCAAAGCCTCTAATCCAAAGTCACTCTCCCATCAGAAGGGTCCTTGGCACATTTTACTAAGGTGTGCAGGTGGAAAACACTGTGTAACAGGCAGCCCTCTGCCAGCATTTCCCCCAAAGCCAGAGTCTCAGGGGTTGATGGGGGAAGGTTTGTAGCATTTTCCAGGTGCCCAACTTGAATTTCACATCCTCTCAAGGTGCTGCAGCCCAAGAGCTCTTGTCCTTTCCAGAATCAATTAGTTCTTCCAAATCACAAACAACAGGTTTGGAAAACTGTAGCCCAGAATCAAATTTTCTCTCTCTTAATCTGAACTCAAGTTGTCAGGATCCCCATGAGCTTGGAAAAAAAATGTGGGTTTGGATGATTCAGGTCTCAAATTCAGTTTGTGCTGGCTGCTCTGCTAAAGAAGAGGTGGAATGGAGCATTCAGGTCTGACTCCAGCCCTCCCTTAGAGGTATCTCAAGGAGATCCTATACAAAAATAGCCAGTTACTTCACAGTCTACTTTGGCTTTACAGCTCCACTAATCATAATCCTGTGCCTGACATCATTACTGCCTGATAATAATCCCTGCAGAGCTGCCTGCCTTGTTCCTGGCAGGAGCAGGGGTTTTGACACCGTCTCAGCTTTCCACGGAGTGCATTCCCACATGGCTGCACTCTGTGCTGGGATGAATGAAACCAGAACCTGTTGTTTAGCACCTGTACAGGAACAAATCCACACCTGCCTTCTGAACCCTGCAGCAATGTTAGACTCTATGAGCACTGGCTGACTACTGCTATATAGAAAAAAGTCCCTGGGATTTAAATATATGTTTGTATATAAAAATATTTCTTATGTAGCACATTATCTATAGATAAAATATATAGCAAATTATATTACATGTAGCAATATATATGCTATAGTAATGTTTATCATATATATTTTAGTAAGAGCACACAGAAAGTATAGATAGTCTTTGGTATTTTGCTACATCAAAGCATAGTGTCTGAGTCAGATATGACAAAGGGCCTTTGCTACCAAACTTTTCAAGCTAAACCCATAGTTATTTGTACAGTGTGTGGGGTTCTTAACTGACCTTCTCTCTGCAGAGAGACCCAAAGGATGGTAGAGTTTTCCTGGCAGTCACAAACTGGCAGGAAAAATTCCCTGCTGCCCTAGTGGGAACAGCACAGTGAGCCTCCTGGTTTACCTGTGCAGGTGTAAGAGCACTGACAGGTCTCTGCCTGTGCTGAACAAGCTCATGGGAATAATGGCACCGGAATGGGCTCGAGGTGACATATTTCTGTATCAGCCTAAAAAGTGCTTTAATGCTAAAACAACAGGTTTGTACCTGGGCAAGATGAGTGCTTGGCTGGAACAAACTGCTCCAAGTTCCTGGTGGCTGTGCCAGCACCAGTGATGGCTGTCCTGCTGTCTGTCCCTGACATGGGCTGTGCAGAGCCTGTGCCACTGGCCAAGACGTGACCCAGCTGAAAATCAGAAAGCATGGCAGAACCAACACTTCCAAGTGACACTGGTCACAGCTTCTCACTGGCAGCTCTGCTGCTCTGCCCTGGGTGCCTGTGACTTTGGAGAGAGAACCAGAGATTGTATCTGACTGCCTGAACCTGGTTGGGTTTGTGCTTAGCCTGCCAGGGTGGGACAGTTGTGTAACACAGGGAAACTGTTCACATATCTGCAAACAGGAGCAGTTGGGACATGAAAGTGGAAGAGGAGCTTTGTGCTCTGTCACTTGCTTCCTCAGTGACTGAGCTAGTGATGCTGCACAGTGAATGTGTAGCCCTGTGTTGCTGGGGAGATTTTAGGGTGGTGAATTGGAGGATTTGAGGACTTTGGGGGATTCTGCACTCACCCAAGGCAGCAGGCTGCCCTACATCTGTTTCTCTGCCCAGCACAACTCGGTTGGCTGTGCCGATGGGCTGTGGGCTCAATTCTGCAGCCAGGCTAGAACCATGAAGCCCTGAGCAGGCTGTGAGCTCTGCGTGGGGCTGATTCCTGTATGCCACGGCTGTGCCATGGGCAGGACAGCTCAGCTTTGAGCTGCCTGTCTGGACGACATGAGGTGCCCAGGTGCAGAGGTGTTCCCTGTCATTTTAAAGGCAGTGGGACATGGCACCTGCTGACGCCAGGGATTTTTCAGTTCCAGGGAGGCGTGTGGTCCCTCAGCATGGTGCTGTGCGACGCCCTGATGACCATGGATGTGATGCTGTGCACAGCCTCCATCTTCAACCTGTGTGCTATCAGCGTGGATCGGTGAGTGCCTTCCTCCTCTGCCTGTGTTCGAGTGTCGCACTGGTTCCACACGTGCCCCTGCCAGGGTCCCACACAGGGAGCACCCTGCCCTCCTCTAAGGAGGGTGTTCTGCCCTAGTGTCCTCCATCACCAGCCTTGTATCCCATGGTGGTGGCCAAGCTGAAAGCACAGTTGTGTGACGAGGCAGAGCTGTTCCTTGTGCGCTCTGGTTGTAGCCCAGGCCTTGGCTGTGTAAGTAAATTAATGGGGGGAAGGACAGTGACAGGGAGCTCTGGGGCCTCTCACTTAGGTTACCAGTGGTGACACCACCACCCCAGCACTGACTCACTTGGGGTTGTGTTGCAGGTTTATCGCTGTTTCAATCCCACTCAACTACAACCGGCGACAGATCGACCTGCGGCAGTTGATCCTTATATCCACCACCTGGATATTCGCCTTTGCTGTAGCATCTCCAGTCATATTTGGCCTCAATAACGTCCCAAACCGAGACCCCAACTTGTGCCAGCTGGAGGATGACAACTACATCGTGTACTCTTCCATCTGCTCTTTCTTCATCCCGTGCCCCGTCATGCTGGTGCTCTACTGCGCCATGTTCCACGGACTCAAGCGCTGGGAAGAAGCCAGGAAGGCCAAGCTGAGGGGCTGCATCTACGGGGTCAACAGGAGGCTCTATCACCCCTCAGCCTTCCTGGAGAGAGAGCAGAGCCGGATGGGGCCACTGGAGTGCAGCCCTTACATCCGTGCTGGGCTCCCTGGGGACTGTGGGCTGAACAGTGGGATCCAGACTGTGTCCTACCCACACCTGAGGTACCCACAGCCAGGGCACGGGCGGAAACGCGCCAAGATCAACGGGCGGGAGCGGAAGGCCATGCGGGTGCTGCCTGTTGTTGTTGGTGAGTAGCTGTTGGGAATGGCTGGGGAGGGTGGGAAAGGTGCCACAATGTCCTGCTGCAGGACTTGTGTGAATCCAGGGTGCTAGAGCAGCACCAACAACCACCACTCTTGGCAAGAGCACATGCACAGTGTTTATAACCCAACTTTCTTCAAGGTAAACCTGTGACTCCCATTACATTCAAAGCCAAAGTAACACATAACTTTTCATCAACATTTAGGACAGGAAAGACATCCCAATTTGTCTGGGCATAAGCCCAGCTCCACAGGTGAGAGAGCTGCTGCCGTTCCCTGAGCACTCTGAGCTGCTGTGTCTTGTTTGGCCCAGGCTTTGTTCAAGTAAACCCTTTTGAACATTCACATCACCTTCTCTCTTCACTGTCCTCCTGGCAGGTGCTTTCCTCTTCTGCTGGACACCTTTCTTTGTGGTGCACATCACCAGGGCTCTCTGCAAGTCCTGCACCATCCCCACCCAAGTCACCAGCACTGTCACTTGGCTGGGCTACGTCAACAGTGCCCTCAACCCCATCATCTACACCGTGTTCAATGCTGAGTTCAGGAACTTCTTCCGCAGAGTCTTGCACCTCTTCTGCTGAGCCCTCCAGAGCCAGTGGGGAGGAGGAACTACCAGGGAGGAGGAGCCGCTGGGTGGGTTTTTTTGTATGGTTCATTAAAGATCTATTTCTGCCTCTGGTCTGCTGTCTTTGTTGTGCAGGACGAGAGCTGGCAGCCAAAGGAGCCGCTCCCCAGCTCCTTGGAGTAAGGTGTTACAGGTGAGTACCAGTGGATGCAGCTCGAGTCCTCTTCCCACTGCAAACTGCAGATGTAGCCACGTTTTTAACACTTGGTGCTTGATAAGGTGCTTGTGAGGTGACACAGACAGGAGTCTGGGGGGGAAAAGGCTCTTAAGCTCATTCCCAGATGCCCACATGCCAGGTGAGGGTGGATCTGCCCGTGCAACCTCCTTTCCCCTCACCCTTGGCAATTTTAAGTGCAAAACCTGATTTCACTCGTGTTTAACAAGGGTCTTACAAAGGCACCATGAGGTTACTGCTAGTGCTTCAGAATTATTTATCAAGCTGTATGATTCCTGCCAGGAACCATTTCCAGCCTCAGGAGAAAATCCTTCGTACCTTCAGGTGAAACTGTGTGCAGTGACAGTCAGGGCAGCCAAAGGGAGCAGGTAATGCTGAGGCCCAGAGGGAAGAAAAGGATTAGTGCACAAAATGACCATCTTCCAAGTAATGATTTCGTAAGGAGTTGTTGCTTTCCAGGGGGAATTTGCTCGGAAACAAAATGGAAAAGAGTACTGCAGGGACATCTTGAGTGTTTCTTTGACAGAATAGCAATTGCTCCATCAATTTCTCATCAGCAGAGGAACAGACTTGATTCCCACGTGCTGATATTCTGCATTCTGAGCTGTGTCACTTGCTGGATTGGGGCACAGCTGTCCCAGGCACCAGAGCCCCATGGGAAACACCCTGAGAGCTGCAATGATAGCTGAGTCACACCTACAGTTTGTCACTCAGGCAAGTTGCCCGACTCTTCCCGTGTTTTTTTCCTCTTAAAAGGTACAGTAAAGCCAAAATTCAGGCAGTGACTGAGGTTGGCTATACCTGGCCATAAGCTATTTGACAGGGACAGCTGCTGCCCAGTCACCTACACAAGCAGGAGGTACCTGGTGTCCCAGCTCCTCTGTCCATGGAGCTGGGGTTGTCCTGAATCCAGGCAGAGCTCCACTGCTCACACCAGCTGTGCTGGACAGGGACAGCTATGGGAGTGAAGCAACAGGAATAGTTTCCAACCAAAAGCCTTGTCTGACACTCAAGAAGTGCCACTTTGGAGTCACCTTCGCTGCATCCAAATGCAGGACACAAGAAACCCTGCAAACAGCTATTAAGACTGTTCTCAGTTAACTAATTGTCTCCAAGCTCTAAAGAACAGATAATCAGCATTTAACTGCGAGCAGAAACCATTGCCAATACTCAAGTGTTACTCCTGGGAAGCAGGAGTGAGCATTTTACAAGAAGAACGGAAGGAGCTGCCTGTTCTTTCCTTCCCAGGAATGTCATAAGGATGATTTCTGTTCCCATCCTGCCTCAGTTCATGCTTGGCTTTCCATGAGAGTGTGGTTCCCTCTTGGAGGAGGCTGCATGCTGCCTCTGCCAGCTCCACGGTGGTGCTGCCTGTGGGGCCTGCTTGGCTCTGAGTTAGGAGGAATGATTTTCCCAGGAAACAGCCAGGACCATGACTGTGCTGGAGCCCTGTCACCACCCTCCTCTACCTCTAAGCAACCAGTGCCACCAGCAACCTGACCAAGGGCATTTCCGAGAGACCTCCATGGTGCTGCCAGAGATGGAAAACCAGCTCCCACTGCCTTGGAACACATGGAATGCAACATAAGAGACCTTTAAAATTCACGGGAAAAGGAATGGACTTGTCAAAAACTTCTAGTCTGAAGCTTAAATCTTTTCCATTGCATTTTTCTCCATTGTTAACTTTCCTGTAGCTCTGGATAGAATTTTCCCATTTTGACAGTGTCTGTAATGCTGGATTAGGTCACTCCATGGTTCAGGTGACCCTGCCTGGAGCAGAGGCTGAACAACCATCTTCGTCCACCAACACGGAACCAGAGCAAACAACCAGCCAGGCCAAGTGACCTCTCACAGGGGCTGTGATCCCTCCCAGAGGATATACCTGAGGCTAAAAAAACCCAACCAACCAGAGGTGTGTACACCTGCCAAGACTTAAACCACAAATAATGACACCTGATTAGCTTAATTATTAAAGAAGTACATTAATAATTAAATGATTTTGTTGCAATGAACAAAGCAAGTAACTCCCTAATGGTCACAACTCTAATTGGCAGCTCCTATTGGCAGGGATAGGACAGCCCTGTATCCACATGCTGTGAGTGACATCCCAGGCACACCATGGGATAAGGCTGTGCTTCCCTGCTGAGGAAACACCTTCCAGTCAGACAGAGAGTACAGACACACATATACCTGCTGCTGCAGCAGCTCCCCCAGGCACACTGCACCCACCTGAGCAGTGCCCTGTACCTTGATGTGCTGCCCTGGGAACTGAAGGGAACTCTCTTCCTTTCATCGCATTTTATTTAACAACCTGTTATTTTTCAATTCTGTTTAAGTGCAGAAGCTCCAACATGTTCCAGATTTTCCCAGCACAGAGGGAACACATGAAAAACAAAATTCCTTCCAATGCCAAACTATGAACTTGGACTGACTTTGTCAAGGCAATTAAATAAACCAAATGAAGGTTCATTTCTCTTCCCAAACCAGAGGCAGGGAGGCGCCAGGAGGAGGGACCACTGGCAGATCTTGCAGCATCTGCTTTAGATCCATCTCAAGAGAGATGAGGAGATTGCTGCAATCCACACGGTGGAGGATTCAGCTGGGCAAAGGCAAAGCCTCCTGAAGCCGAAGGGGCTTCCAGCTGCTCGGCTGCAGTCAGGGCTGGGGGTGGGAGGGAGTTTCCAGATGAGGTTTTCACAGTCTCTGTATTATCCAAAGTTTCGGAAGAGGATTGGGAGTAGACAAATGCTGTCACAGTATCAAAGAGTCAATCAAAAACGAGTCTGCTAGTGGGGGGAGTGCTGTGTGCACAGGACAGACCGTTCCGTGGTTGCCGATCCAGCCGGCCCGTGCTGCCCGGAACGGCTGCAGAGGTAGGTGTGTCACACCGGGACCTTCTCCATGACACTGTCAGTCACATGCACCTCATCACCTTGCACTGTCACCGTGGCTGACTGGCCACAGATGTGCTGGTGGTCCTTCCAATCCTGCCAGGGGAGAGCAGAGGGAAAGGTGGTGAAGAAAACAGGCCCTTGGAAAAGCCACTGGAGCTGACAAACCTTGTGTGGAAGTGTTTCCTCCAGCAGAGCTGGGCAGAGCAGGTCTCCAGTGCCCCACAAACCACACCAGTGAAGGAGGGGAAAGGAGACACACACTGGGTTGATACTAGAGGTGGAATCAGACTAAGCAGAATGCTGCCTTCACCATCCAATCCCAACACAGCCCCCACAGCTCCCAGCGAGGTGTTTATCCCCTCATTTCTGGTGTTACTGATTTTTTGGATCACTCTTGGGAAGCTCTGTGCAAATCCTGGAATTTTCCCTACCCCTTCGACCCTGACCCAAGCCCCAGACCTGTCCCATCACTCCAGCCTTGCTGGTGATCCCGCTGGCAGGGTGGGTTTGGAATGCCTGACCCACAGGGTTGTTCTCTGGCCATTTGGATGCCACACATTCCTGTCCCATGCTGACATCCCTCAGGTGACAGCCACAGCTGCCTGGCCATCCCCAGGGTCACCCAGCCCTCTCCAGACAACTGAATCCCAACTCACAAACACGCTGATCAATACCTTCCGCTGGCAGAAAGTGGAGCAGTAGTTGACCTTGTGGCACCCTGTGCACTCGTTGGTGGCCTCCCGACCGCAGTTGACGCAGGATTGCTGTGGAAAGGGATGGACAGTGTCTGTGTCAGACAGAGCCACCCAGGGAGGTCACTGAGGCACAGTAACCTGCTGGAATGTAGCAGTGGGAAAGCTCAATTCCCAAAATACCCTCAGCACACCAACACAAAAAACAAGCCCAGTGGCTTCTGGATATGCCCTCAGAGACCTGCCCTCCTCGCTGTTTTAGCAGAGATCCCTTTGGAAAATGGAATGCACCTCTGTTTTCCTTTCTGTCAGGCAAAAAGCCCTTCAAAACTGTGGGTGGGACACTGAGGGGTCATGGAAATCTGTCACCACCACCCCAGGAACACCTCCCTCCATGTAGGCCAGGTATCCATCAGTCAGGTAACTGCAGGCTTCACCAGGAGCTGGGTGTATCCCATGGGCAGGTGTATCCCAAACAACCAAGTCAGGCTGTGCACAAGTCACGGACACCCAAGGTCTGAGTTTATCCCAAATTTAAAGGTTTAAAGGCAGATTTGGTTGGTGGTTTTGTAGGGTTTATATATGTCTGAGAGAGCGTCTGACGAAGGACAACAGGAGCAGGAATAAGGATGGGACCCTTGAGTTTTATCTTTCCCTGGTTTTGGAGAGGAAAAAGGGATCTGCTTCTACGGGATATGCTCCTTGCTCCTTTGCCAGTCAGCAGCATGGCTGCATAAGGAGTGTCCCAACAGGGAAACAGGAGTAAAATGAAGAAGGCTATAATGGCAGCAAGGAATTAAATCCAGAAGCAAGGTGAGATAGGATTCACGGGTAGAAAATCACACCTGCTTTTCAACGGATGCTTTCGTGTCTATCGCTTTAATCTCCTCTCAGTGACACCAATTAACATAACCTGTATACTGAGGAGGAAACATCACTGAACTGCCACCAAAATAAGCACTTCACAGAGCATTCTGCTTCCAGCTCATTAAAGCCCTGACAAATCATTAGCAGCTCGAGCAGCAGCAACAGGAAGCATTGCTGGGCTGCGAAAGCACTGTGGGCTCTTTGGTTCTTCCAGCTCCTCTTCTGCTTTGAGTGCAACCACCCCAAAAATCAGTGCCCTGATTAACACCTGCTCACCACAGCACCTGCTCACACCTTCCCATGCACCCGCAGTGAACAGCTGATGTGGCTGAACTGTTTGTGCTCCTGATGTACAGGGAGCCAGGGATTCAGGACACCAGAAATGCCTTGAAGCTGCAATGTGGGACTTGCAAAGCCTGTCCCGAGGGGACACTTGACTGGGGCTGTTTGTAACCTCTGTGGTATTGGGAAATGTGGAAAATACAGTGTGTGGTTGTACCCAGAGAGCCTAGAGAAGACTGAGTAACACACACAGCTCTAAGAGCTTCAGTCATGGATCCTGAACTAACTGCCATTCCAAAAGCCAGAGGGAATCACAGAGTCATGAAAACCAGCTCACAGGACAGAATGGAAACAAGTGCCTTGCTGTCACAGCTCAGTGATGGCCACCCATCAGAGCTGCAATGCCACAGCTCAGAGGTGAGTGAGACTGAGGGACCTGGCCAGGTGACAGTGAAGGAGTGTGAAAACCTGAAAGGTAAGGCACTGCTTAGAGCACTGACCCTGCCAGGGAAGGCTCAGATCTCTGCCAGAAGGCCAGACAGAGCAATGACAAAACATCTGCATCTTTAAAAGGAACAAGACAAAGACCAAAAGACTCTTCACAACACACACGACATCCCCAGCTCACCTTGATGATGATTTCTGTTTTCCCATCCACATCCTCTGTTTGTTGGAATAATTGGCTCTGGTACTGCTGCAAGGAAAACACACCAGACCTGTCATTTCCCAATTAAGCATGATGTGAGGGGTTGGAAAGGGCTCTGGGTCCCCACGCTGAGCTGAGTCTGTCCAGCCCAACACTGCAGCTGCAAGAGGACAGAGGGGACACTCACTCCTCCCTTCTAGGAGAAGGACACTGTCACCGCATGTGACAGGTGAAGAATCCTGTGAGAAAATGGCCTGAGGTGACAAAGTCCTGGTTCAGTACAGCATTTCCTCCAAGCCCAGCTCACCTCTCCATCCAGCCACATACTCCTCCTGAAAATGGGGAGCTTAATTGCCACAGAGGAATTGCATCCCAGACACATGAGAACCTAGGAAGTTAGCACAGGAAACACAAGGAGAGCACCAAGATAACAGGGCCAAGTGCCACCTTCTGGGGCTGAAGTTTGGGTCAAGTCCACTGATCCTAATCCCCTAAAAGACAGGGATAGCACAGCCCAACAGAATGGATTAGGGAAAAAATAACAGAGAATTAACACACCCAAGACTTCAGAAACAGCATTGATCATAACCATTACTCCTCCTTGTAAGAGTAGAGTAAGAGAGCTGTACAACAGGTTGTGACTCCATCACTGCTCCAGAGGTGACATTCCCAAACCACCTCAGCTGTGTGGCACAGTCACTTCAAACAAATTCAGGCCCAACCATCTGCCTCGCCACACTCAGCAGCCAGCACTGCTGAGGGACAGAGTCCCACCCCAACCCAATCCACACCCAAACCCAAATGGATTACATGCTAACCCTGGATTGAACGTATTTGAACAGTTAAAAAGTCCAAAAAAAGCCAAACTCCACCTTCAGGCAAAGCAGGTTCACCCAGGAGTACGACCCAACATATAAGGAGATTAAAGGCTTAATTTACCAGTGTATCCATGGCCTGACAGCACAGTATTTTTGTCCTATGAAACCACAACCTTCAAAACCTTTCTGTTACCATGATATAAATGAAGTTAAAAACCTCCAGGCAGGTGGAGGCAGTGGCAGGGAAACCTCTTGCTGTGGGTGTGACTCAGTTCTGCCTTATTTGACAAGATAATTCCAGCCATGCAGAATCCATGGAGAAGGAAAAGGTGTGCTAAGAGATAGGATCAAGCCAGACACATGCAGATCCCTCACAAAAAACAGCTCCAGAAAACTGATAACATCCAATTACCAATGGTTTCACTGCTACTCTGGAGTATAAAAGCCACCATCTGCTGACCAGTCATGTTTCCTAACTGCCCAGCCCTTTCTAGCTTAATTTCAAACTCTCCAGTCCAGAATTGGTTGATTCTTTCTAGAAGAGAGTTCAGATGTCCCAGGTGTTTGCTGATTTAATCTTCACCCTTGCTTTCACAGAGGCTGAGCTCCAGAGGCATCACTGCTTTACAGAGTGATAATCACATTCCAACACTAAGCCTTTCAAATTTATACACAAAACCCATTTAATGTATTTCCTGAGTACCTTTATTATCCTTCAGCAATTTTGCATAGAATTTGGTGAGTCTGTGTATTCTCCCCATCCTAACATTTATCTGGCAAGGCTTAATGCACACTCAAAAAAGTGGCACTGCCCAAGCACACAGGCCCCTGTGTCACTCCTGCCTTCAATCCTGTCCTGCAAACGGCACATGTCTCTTGCAAGAGACACTGACCCTTTGTGGCCCCACTCACCCTCTTCCTACATGTCTTTCCCTTACCAAAAAATGCAGTGAAGCCAACACTGAGATAGTAAGCAGAGGATCAGATACTGTCACAACCTAATAACTGATGATAGTGGAAAACTGTTTCTTTAACAGCCATATGCAGTTCAGCCAGAGCAGTTATATTTACCTAATCCCACACAAAATGCTGCAACTCAGAGAAAACTCACAAATAGCTCAATATTTTCCCTTTTTGCAACACCACAAGGCAGTTCAGAAGTCCATACAAACATGGAGCTAGAGGGCTCATGGTTTGCTTTTCTTTCATGATGCCATTCCCATGACTTCTAAGTGTCCTCAGAGGATCCTGCCACTCTGCAAACTGGCACACAAGCCCAACCACTGCCCAGCACAGGGCACAGCTTCTGCTGTTTGAAGCTAAGGCAACCAAAGTGCTGCTGAATGGGAGCAGAGGCTCATTTGTGATAGTTAATGACTCCAAAGCTCATTAAAAATAATTCTAATACGTGAAACATACTACAGTGAGTGTGCAATATACAACAAGGCACCTAAGTCTGTGCATCCAGTTGGCAATCAGCTTGCTCCTATCAGATCTCTCTAATCCTGCTCTGTACTAAGTCATCCTTCCAGGAAAAGCTGAGTCTGCAGCTCTGTATCATGTAATCTGTGGCACAGCCTTTGCTCTGCAGCTCTGACATGACACAATCAGGGGTGGCAGGAAGGTTTCCCATTTGTTCACCTTTGGAAGTTCTGTCAATGGAACAAACACTAAGTGGTGATTGAGCACCAATTTTCTTCACATTAAACTGGTCCAGCACAAATCCCCAACGTCCAGGGCAGGAAGACACCTCTGTCTGCCTCTCGTCCACCGTAACTGCCAAAAAGAGCAGTGGGACCACACATACTCTGGGTGGGAAAGAGCTGGGAAATCATCCTTGACCACCACAAAAGCAAACAGCCAATTCCTTGACATTCAGTGTAATTGCTGTCCCATACCCAGACACACAGACTTTTGTCCAAATATGGAATTCTCTAGCACAAATTCAGAGATAGCTACTTGTGATACTGCCTGGATGGCTCCAGAATCCACCACAGTTTGGAATTGTCTGGGTAATAAAAAATACCACCATCAGTGAGTGTGTGTACCAAAATGTGGAGGTGCCCATTACACACAGAGTGGGGACACACAAGTGCCAGAACTGGGGATGCAATAGTTCCTGGGAAAGGGGTTCCCTCTGGAAATGAACACATGTTCATCCTTCCTATGTAAAGTCAGCACTTTAATCCATTATCAGGAGGGATTTTAACTCCTGCTCCCAGGGCAAGAAGGAAGTATAAGTACACCAAAATGAGCTGCTTTTGGTGAGGGGAAGGAACTGAACCACCATTCCAGAAACCACCATGAGGATAAACAGAAGGGAAGACAGCACACGGACTGGAAAAATTGCAGAGTGAAGTTAAACAAAGTCAGATGTTTATCTCTAAACTGTGCCAAAGTTTCCAATGTTTCAGCATCCCATGCCCTGCACAGCTTTCCAGGAGCAGCCAACCCAAACCTGGGCAGCAGCACCAGCACCCATCCTGCCTGGAGGGAGGCAGGGAAGGATTAGACTCCCAAGGTATCACACACCTGCACATCAAGGATGCAGCGTACAGGAGAGTTTAGCAGAGCCAACGTGGCAAAGAATATCAAGGCCTGTCCTAGGGGTGCTCAGCTCCCAGCAAAGTCTTCCCACACACAGCTCCTCCAGGCCTCTCACTGCACACTTGTGCCTATGGATTCAGTGGAAAGCTGATGTTAGCAACAACACCGATGGCAAAAAAAAAATGTGGTGTTTGGGATTTCAGCAGTTCCAACACTGCTCATCTCTCTCCCTCCAGCAGCTGTCCACACCAGCAGCTGTGGATCTGTGGGAGAAGGCATTCAGCATGGAGCTGGATTTGGGTGCATGCATGAGCTGGTGGGCAGAAGAATCCAGGATTCCTACCATGCATCAGTTAAAGAAAAGCAGAGAGAAGAGGGCAGTCCTTGTGGATAATCCCTTGGAGGAGTCCAACACTGCTCATCTCTCTCCCTCCAGCAGCTGTCCACACCAGCAGCTGTGGATCTGTGGGAGAAGGCATTCAGCATGGAGCTGGATTTGGGTGCATGCATGAGCTGGTGGGCAGAAGAATCCAGGATTCCTACCATGCATCAGTTAAAGAAAAGCAGAGAGAAGAGGGCAGTCCTTGTGGATAATCCCTTGGAGGAGAGAAGGGTGATGGGTACCAGCTGGTGCTTCCGTGGTGCCAGTCAGCCTTGCAGCCCTGCTACAGGGCTCGTGTGGGATCAGCTTTGCCTGCACAGTGCTCAGCCAGACACCTCTAAACGTCACTGCTTCTCTCCCCTATAAACTCTAGGATAAGCTGTTCTGCTTATCCCATCAAAAGCCTCTGATAGCACAGCTCACCTGAGAACTGCCACCGCATGCCTTAACACTCATCAGCTTTCCCAGACCCAGACTCAGTGCACACACCCCATAAATTTACAGAGAGCTGATGGAAGAGCTCAGTAACACCAGTCTGTGTGACCAGCCCACTGCCCACAGCACTCTCTTTCCCCAGGATACAAACATATTGGAAAGATTTCCTTGCTAACACTGCTCTCAAGACTTTGAGAAGCAATTTCTAAGAGCTACCACTTTTCCAGCCAGTGTTCTGCTCATCACTCAGCCCAAGAGGTGCCCCTTGCTGAGCCCTCTCAGCACCTCCAACACAGTTACCTCTTTCCTCTCCACATCAGCCTGGATTTTGGCCTGTGTGACAGCAGCCTCACGGAAGGAGGAACTGGCCTGCTTGGCCTGCTCAATCAGAGTCTTCAGCTGCTGTGCTGTGCTGAGCAGGGAATTGACCATCTCCTCCAAGTACAGCCAACTGCGCTGCTCCGTCACCTCCAGCCCATTCACCACCGACGGGGACATGGCCTTGGTGGGGGTCGTGGGGGGCACTGCCAGCGCAGGGAGAGAGGTCAACACTGCAGAGACAGGAACAAAAATCAGAGAGAGAGAATTAGGGTGTTTCATTTCCACAAAGTGGGGTTTTCTGAGGGAGTGGGTTTCTTTTTTTGTCTTGGTTTCTTTTTCAAAATATGCTCTGTAAATTTTCCAATCTGGGAAAGGCTTTCCTGAGCAGATCCTTTCTTCTGTCAAAGGGTAGAACAAGCCCTTGGGCACACTCAAGCCCATAGGGCAAGAATACCTCCTCTGACCTCCTGTTTGCTCTGGAAAGGGTTTAGCACCTCCCAGCACTGCTGTGGACAAGCACAGTGAAGAGGTGAAAGCAGCATTCCCAGAGACTCCTCCACCACTGCCAACGTTTCCCTTAGCTATGGCTGAGTAAGGTCAGAGTAAGTCACTCAGTGATCTAATACTTTCTGAAATATCCTCATGTTCCTACCCCGATGTCAATTTTCAGGTTGGAAACCCACAAAACTCAGGCACTGACCCACACCTCATCTCTGTGCTTCCTGAATTCTGAACTTAACCATAACCCTGGCCCAAGACTGGAATAAGCCCCAGACAGTTACCATCACATCAAAGTGAGTGTATTCCAAACAGGCACTTTCCAAAGCCATGGCTGGGAAGCCCTATAAAAACCATGGCACTGAAACAGCTACTCTTCACATTAGGTTTGCATGTCCACTGGGAGATCATGGTATGAGGAAATTAAATCCAGATCCAGGAACTCCATGACATACAGTGTAAGCTCAGCTTAGGTAACGTTCCAGGAAGAACTGGCTTTACTTTTCCAAAATGTAACTCTAGCAATAAATACTCACCATCTGCCATAAAATTCAGTCCAAGACATCCCCATCTATCAACAGTTGACCTCCATATTCCTCACTGAACTGTTTACCAGCAAAAAGGAAGGTACCACCAACTTTGGGGCTCTGCAGACTTACTACCCCAAAATCTACCACCAGTCTGCCAGGCAGCAGGTCAGGACAATGCACTGACAATGTCCCTCAGCATCTGCAGTGTGACCAGGGAGTGCCAGCACAGCTGTGACTCACCAGTGTTCTCACTGAAACAGACAATTCTTGGATCCAGATGCTTTTCCTTGGAACCAGAGTTAAGAAATGTACTAAATGGGAAGTTTGTCAACAGAATGTAGAGGCTGAAGTGTCCAAAAGGCACTTCAGTATCATTTACTTAAGATGCACCTGTAAATACTGTCCTGAACAGCAACAGGCCAACACACCTTCCTGCCCACAGACAGGGGCTGAAATTGCAGCAGTTCCCCACAGCAGTTCCACTGGCAGTGAACCTCTCTTCACAAAAGTATCTGCAGACAAACCAGACTTCTTGCAGGACAGCACTGAACACAGAGTATGTTCCAAGACAGTAACTAATTTAGCCTTTTTTCAACCCTTTTAACCTCGTGGCTGGTGTTATTCATGGAAGCAGCAAAAGCTGGAACAATCCAGCACTGATCTGGAGTGACAGAACAAGCCTCAGCCCTCAGGTACTGCAGGTCCCCGTGTCAGGTGTGTGACCTTCCTTGCCAGCTCCCCACACAGGTACACAAAGATTTCATGGTAAAATGCCCTTAATTAAACCCGTAATTCCAATCCATTTGCACATGAGTGGCCTGGAACTATTTGCACTTAGATATGAGCATGAGATAAACGGGTCTGTTTTATCAGTGGCTGTTTGCAGAAAAGCCTTTCTCACTCTCCATTTCCAGCACAATATTTATCCCAGTGTGGCATTTGATAACTTATCTAACAGGAATTACTTCCAATCCCTCGTTTTGGCACAGGTACATCAGGCAAGAGAAAGCATTCACCGGTGATAAAACAATCAATGTTTAATTAGTAACATCAAGATCTAAGGCTTAAACCCAACAGGATTTGACTCTGAACAGCAGAAACATGCTGTGCTGCTCCATAAGGGGATGGAAAACTGATGCCTAACCTGCCCCAAACTGCCTCCAGCAGTACCACTGGAGCCATAAAGAGATGTGACAATGTCTAGAAAAGCTTCTGTGATGCAAATTTAAAGGGGTTGGTTCTCCTCAGATCAAACAATAGTGCCCAAGAGGAACAAAAGCCTGGAAGCAGGAGCCTTAGGAAAAGCTAGGACTGCAAGATTTAGAAAGCAGGATCACAACAGGCTCCTCCAGCAGAAACCAACAAATCACAGTTCTCCATAATGGAGTGAAAAACTTCCCACAGAGGGGAAATCTCTTTGCCCAAGCCTTAATAACCACAAAACTCACAAGCAAAACAGAGCAAAGTTTAATCCTCTGACTCAATCTTTGCCTTTGCAGAGAAAGATCAGAGGAAACTGAAGCCCTGTGAGGTGTCTGACCTGCTGGTCAGCAAACTTACCGATCTTGGGATGAGATGTTGGCAGCGCAGCCTCGGGGAAGGGTGAGATCTGGCAGTTGTCCTGGTAACTGGGATAGTGAGGCTCTGGGTGGGCAACCCGGCATGGCTGCTGGACATTGGTGTCCTGGACTGCAGGAGAACAAGGGCATTAGGAATCACTCACACACCTGACAGGTGCTTCCTATGCTGCTTTCACCCCTATTGTTTTACATCTTATACAGGTTTCTACACTCTGTGGTAATTCCCAAGGGGTGGAATTGAGAAACAGTAGCAGGATCTCACAGAGCCAGCAAGCAAGTCAGCCTTGTCCCGATTCCACCATGCTCTGCTTTCACCTTCAGAGCCACAGGCTCCTCCCACACACCTACATACCCACAGTAATCCCAGCCCCCAGAGCAGGATCGTTCTCTCAGCAGAGCTCACAAGCCCCATATGAATCAAACTGGAAGAACTGACGTGTATACCATGCATTTATATTTGGGGTGGTTTATTCTGGCATTTTCACGGAGTTTCAACCCTCAGCTAGTTTTGGGGACTTCTGCAGTATTTTAGGCTAAATGAGGAGTGACAAATGACAGAGATGAGCACAAACCCTAGGAAGTCAGCAGAGGTGAACATTAGCAGCTGCCACACCTAGGAAAAACCCCTTTTGTGCAACTGGTGAGACTTCTAACAGCTGAGATGATTTCCATGAAGGACAGCAGGTTATGCCATCTCCCATGGGAATATATCCTTCGTGTTATCCTATCCATCCAAAATGCTTCTTCCCACAGCAGTGAGCATCCAACCCTCTTCTCCTTCTTCCCATGGCTGTCTACGAGACAAACACCTCAGCTCTTACCAGTGGCTCCAGTGAACACATCCCCCTGGGAAGGACTTTCCGAGATGATGGCCGTGGCCTCCACGGTGGATGCGCGGTCGAAGGTCAGTGCCCCAGAGGTAGTGATCTGCCCAGAGGGAGTCACCGTGACTGAAATATTAAAGGACTCTCATAACTAACACTCAGTGCGGAGCCCACGGCCGTGCAGCTGCTGATAGCTCTGTGCTGCACCATCCAGAGCCAGGGAACTCACAGAGCAGTCACCAGCTTGTGAGAACCCAGTCTGGATCACACCTCTGACCAAGGCAGCTGGAAATGGGAATAAAAGCCCTGTGGGTTTCTGAAGACTCTGCTGTGCTCCAGGGCTCTGGTTATTGTCTGGGGTATGATGCCAAAATGTTAATTTACAACATAATACCTCCCAAATCACCACCTTTTCAACTCCTTTATGAGCCAGAACTTAACACTCACCACAGCAGTTCAGCAAGGCCACAAACACCATCAGTTTCTGGCTGATCCTAATTGATGGCAATTTATCATTCTTGCTATTAAATTGACACAAAATCCTGTGGTTTACAACTAATTCCTTGACAGCTGGACAATTTCAGCTGTTGATAGAATGTGCTTGGAAATGAGAGGAACAAGTCACAAAATCCCTTTGAATGACTATACCTGAGTGGCTCCAGAATGTTTAAATCCCTTTTTAAACAGGAGTAATTAACTTTAATTGGTGATGGGCTGATTCTATGGGACACTGCTCAGCCAGGAGGATCTTTTCCCAAACAGAAATTCAGTTTTAAGGCATTGTGACTGCATATTCATGGCTGGTGAGGTATGTGGCTACCACAAGAAGCAGTTCTCCCTCCCAGTGCCAGCACGTGCCCAGGTGCAGCCTCACAGCACTTCACATAACAAACCAAAACCTATTATAATACACAAATAATACCTGGAATAAACATATTTGGGGATTAAAAGAACCAAACCCACAAAACAACTCTGAGAATCCTTGTGTGTTTGTCCTCCTACTGTTGCCAATGAGATAACCTCACTGTTTTGTTCCTATTTTGGGTTTCTGTTGCTTCCTCCCCATTCTCTTTGTGCTGTTACCACTCAGATGACGCCAGTGCAGAGTGAGCAGGAGGACACAGGGATGTGACTGGGAATGTGTGAGCTGGATGAGCTTGCAAATGAATTTCTGTTCTCATACAGATGGTTTGACAATCAAGCCAGTAAGTAACAAAGCATGTCCTGAATGCTGGAGAGGAATGTGTAGATGGAAGTGTCACTTTCTGCCCCCTTCATTAACGACTCTCAGGCTGGGGGTTTCATTCCAGCTGCTTCCAGCCTTGTTCTCCTTGTGTTGCAAGGAATAGCACAAATCCTACTCAAGCTTCTGCAGCCCAGGGGATGGAATGGGGATTTCTGGCAGAGCAGAGAAGGGCCAGCTTTCCCCTCAACCTCATTCCAACATGAGGAAACTACCCAATTGTCACTTGTGAAAAATCTACCTGAAACCCACTATGGATCAAGGCCACAACTCCACAATTCCACCTGCACTGCTGGCATAAGAACATGTACATGGGAGAAAATAACCATGGAATGACAGAACACTGAAATGGTTTGGGTTGGAAGGGACCTTAAAGCTCCTCCAATTCCACCCCTTGCTATGGGCAGGGACCCCTTCCACTATCTCAGGTTGCTCCAAGCCCCATCCAGCCTGGCCTGGAACAATTTCAGCTGGCAGTTCCAAGGGGGCACTGACAGACAAAGAATATCTGGTGTGGCAATTCCTCATCAAAGAAGTGCAGGAATTTTTACCAAGAGAAGAAAACCTACAGGTGGTTGCGGCCGTGGCAGGAAGCAGAGTGATGTTTTTGGGGCAGCTCTTCTTCGCTGGAGTTGCAGGAACTTCGTTGTCTTTTTTCCGCCTTTTATATGGCACAAAGAGTCGTACAGGGCCACTCTGGGCAGGACAAAAGACAGGGAAAAAGGAAAAGAAAAAGGAAAAGGCATTAGCTGAGGCTCCTCCATGGAGACTCTGGCTTTACTCTCACCTTTTCAGGTGCAGCTAAAGTCAAGCACACAGTTGGATGATGTGTGGTTGGCCACAATTGACCAAAAAACTTGGCTTTCCCAAACCAAAAGAACTTGGGAAGGGGAGGGAAGTTAAACTCAGCTCCCTCCT